GGCCAGCAGTGAGAAGAACGGGCAGCTGAAGAAGAAGGAGGAGAAGGCCAGGGCTGCCGGCGACGCCCCCTCCAACGGGCTCCGGCACGCGAAGAAGAAGAAATAAGCCGGGATGCAGCGCCGGGCCCCCGCCCAGCCTGCCCCAGACCTCTGCAAGACGCTGCTGCAGCGCTCGTGGGCAGCGGGCCAGGCGGAACTGAGCGGGTGGGAAGAGCCTTTGCGTCCCCTCGGAGCTGGTCATCCCCCCCGGTGCGCGGTGGGGTGGAAGCCCGTTTGAACACCTCCCCCAGTCGAAGGTCTTCCCTGTCGGGCGAGGCTCGCTTTCTTCCTCCTCGGGTTGAGGAGGAAGCCGTTTGTCCAAGCCTGCGGCCCACTTGCTCTTCCCCGATTCCTGCTCCTCTGCCCCCTCTTAGCACGGTGACTGAACGTGGCGGGGTGGCCCAGCCTCTGTGCTTGGCTCTCTCCAGCCATCTGGCCACCCTGCTTCAGTTTCCAAGGGTCTCCTGCGTTTGGGGTAGGGGACTGGGGAGCGCTTCCTGAAGGCTGGGGAGCCCCCGTTGCTTCTTTGGGGATCGCCAGGTGACCTGCCCTTCCTGGCATCGTTGGATCGTCGGCAGGCTGCGTGGGATGCGAAGCTCAGCCGCTAGGGTTGAAGTGAGTCTCAGGAATCCCTTCCCTTCCCTTCCCAGCTCCCCGTATCCCATCTGGGTGCAGAACCAGATGTGGGGAGACGTGGCTGAGACGTAGTTTCAGCCGCTGCTGGTTTTGAAGCAGTAGCACCTCTGCTTTATGTGCACCCGGAATGGTTTGCCAGCCCAGACCTCCTTGTTTCTCCACTCCCGGCCATCCCTTGACCTGCTGAGCCTTGTGGTGGAGGGCCAGGGAAGTTCTCTGCTCTCTGTGCTGCACCCTGGAGGCTGCGGGGCAGCAGGTGCCCTTGTGGGGCCTGTCACTTATGCCCTTAAGGAACAGAGTTGGCGTTTGTCCTGCACAGGACCCAAGAAAGATGGCTCTGATTTTCTAAATAAACCCTGTACATTCCAGCCTTGTGTGTGCGTGTGGACATTGCATTCATTGAACTGTCTTAGCCTTTTTGAGAGCCCTCTGCTCCAGTTCGGACAGATCCTTTTGGGGGCTGCTTGCAATCAGTCCTTGATTTATCCCTCTAGACCGGTGTTTCTCAACCTTGTCAACTTTGAGATGTGTGGAATTCTTACCTTACTCATAAATGGAGAATTAGGGCTGAACCCTGAAATGGCCAGGTTCCTTGATGACATCAGATGGTTTAGCGTAGCGTTTCTCTAAGATGTGTGGATTTCCAGAATACCCCAGCCAGCATGGGAGTGGAAGTCCACACATCTTCGACTCTAAACCATGTGATGTCATCAGGGAACCTGGCCATTTCAGGGCTCAGCCCTATGAGTAAGGTAGAGCATTGCTCCTTGGGAGGATCAGCCTTGACAGTCCTTTAGAAAGTGGCACATGGAGGCCTCGGTCAAAGGACCACTTAAGAGGCTTTTCCACCAGCACTTCCGTGACTGGGTTTGTACAGCATGCTGGACTAGAATGATGAAGCTGGGTAGTTTATGGGTGATCTATTATGAGAACATGGGCACTCAACTTGCTATTACCATGAGTGTAGAGGGTGGACAAGGGAGGTTGCAGACTTCATAGTGGCTTGTTAGGGTGTCTGTGGCTGTACTAAGGTTTATATGGTTGTGCAGCTTGTAATAAGAACCTTGCAATTTGGATTCTGGGAACCGAACCCTTAGGCTTTAAAGTGCCACTTTTCCAATCCTGGATGCCAGCCTGCGAAAAATCAACCAACCCCAAAAAAGATCTCTATGAACTTTGAGTAGCATTTTATTAATGTTAAGGTAACACTCTTGGGTCAGCATGAATAAAATTCACTAAAAGCTGTGTAGAAATGGCAATTCTGCCAGTGGTCCTTGGCTGCCCCACAACACTCTTGAGACTGTGAGCCAAAAAGCTGAAGTTCCATGTAACACAGAGAGAAGCCCTCTCCTTCCCAAGTGGGGATGATGGAAGTAGATGTCCAACACATCTGGAGGACAGCAGCTGCTGCTGGGAGATTGCCAAGGAAGACGGAGCAGTGAGCCAAAAGCAGTTGTGGTCCAGAGCGTCACCAGGACAGTTGGCCTGGACAGTACTTGGCAATGAGACTTTCATAGTAGGGTTTGAGCTTCTGTGGATCAGGAAGCTCTTCACACTTGGTGTAGAGGTCAAACTTGCTGCAACGGGAACAGAGAGGTGGGGTGATTTTCCGGCCCCCTTGGGGGCTTCCTGCCCTCCTGAAGCCACCGTGGTGCTGGCTGTTTTCTGAGCAGGACTTGACCAAGCCAGAAGGAACCCAGCTTCTTGCTCCAGGTGTCTCCAGCGCTTCCTAGGCCACCCACGGGGGGAAGGCTAGGACAGGGTGCAAAGCCTTCTCTAGGGGAGGGGAGGGTTTGTCACGGGCCACCAGCTGGGTGGGAGGGAGGCTGCAGCAGGCAAGCAAGCTAACAAATATTAAACCAGCAAGAAATCCCATTTTTAATCATTATTGAAAATGAATGTTAAAGCTGCCTGCTTGCTTGCTTGCTAAGCCAACAAGCTTACATCTACAGTATTGCTGCTGAGGTACCTCCTTTAAGGCGCAAGACTTCCTAGACTTTAAGACGTCTAGACTTCCTTTAAGATGTCCAGACTTCCCCCCCTTTCCCCCCCCCGGCGCCCCCCCCCCCC